ATCTTGGAATGGTTTGAGAGAGTAGGTATTAATCTTCTTTAGATGTCTGATAGAATTTACCTGTGAAGCCATCTGGCCCTGGACTTTTGTTTGTCCTGAGATTTTTGAATACTGATTCCATTTCTTTGCTGCTAATCATGTCAAGTTTTCTATTTCTTCCTGTTTCAGTTGTAGTTTATATGTTTCTAAAAGTTTATACATTTCTTCCAGGTTGTCCAATTTGTTGGCATATAATTTTTCATAATATTCTTTTATAAATTTGTTTCTCTATGGTCTTGGCTGTTATTTCTACTCTCTCATTTGTGATTCTATTTATTTGAGTCTTTTCTTCTTGATAAGTCTGGCTAGGGGGTTATCAATTTTTTTAATTATTTCAAGGAACCAGCTCCTGATTTCATCATCTGTTCTATTTTTTTTAGGCTTCTGTATCATTTATGTCTGTCCTAATCGTTACTGTTTTCTTCCTTCTGCTGGCTTTAGGCTTAATTTGTTATTTTTTCTTTAGCTCCTTTAAGTATAAGGATAAGATTTGAGATTATTACTTGAGATTTTTCTTACTTCCAGAGGTAGGCCTGCATTGCCATATACTTCCCTCTTAGGACCACTGGTGCTACATCTAAAATTTTTTGGACTGTTGTGTTTTCATTTTCATTGTTTCCATGTATTATTTAATTTGTTCTTTGATTTCCTGGTTGACCCATTCATTCTTTAGTAAGATGTTCTTTAGCCTTCATGTATTTGTAGTCTTTCCAAATTTTTTATTATGGTTGACTTCAAGTTTCATAGCATAGTGATCAGAAAATGTGCATGGTATGATGTCATTCTTTTAATATTTGTTAAGCCTGATTTGTGACTTAGTATGTGATCTATTCCAGAGAATGTCCCATGTGGACTCAAAAAGAATGTGTATTCTCCTGCTTTGGGATGAAATATTCTGAATATATCTGTTAAATCCAGCTAGCCCATTGTGTCATTCAAAGCCATTGTTTCTCTGTTGATTTTCTGCTTAGATGATCTGCCCATCAGTATAAGTGGAGTGTTAAATTCCCCTACTATTATTGTATTATTATCAATGGATTCATCTATATTTGCTATTTTTATTGATTGAGTGCTTTCACATTGGGAGCATGAGATTTACTATTTACTATTATTAGACCTTGTTGGATAGTTCCCTTCATTATGATATAATGCCCTTGTTCATCCCTTGTTACAGTCTTTGATTTAAAATGTAGTTTGTCTGATATTGCTACTCCAGCTTTCTTTTGACTTCCATTTGCATGACAAATGGTTTTCTAGCCATTCACTTTCTGTCTGCAGGTGTCCTTAGGTCCAAAATGAGTCTCTTGCAGACAGCATATAGATGGAGCTTGTTTTTTATCCAGTCTGATACCCTATGTTTTGTGATTATAGCATTTAGTCCATTCACATTCAGAGTAATTATTGAAAAATATGTATTTAGTGCCTTTTTATTACTTGTTTTGTCATTAGTTCTGGAGATTTTCTCTGTTCCTTTCCAGTCTTTGTCCATTTTGTCTTTCCTTCCCACTCGAAGAGTCCCCTTTGATATTTTTGCAGGGCTGGATGAAGGGTCACAAGTCCTTTAGTTTTTTGTTTGTCTGGGAAACTCTTTATTCTGAATTATAGCCTTGATGGATGGAGTATTCTTGGCTACAGATTTTTCTCATTCAGCTCATTAAATATATCATGACACTCCCTTCTAGTTTGCCATGTTTCTGAGGAGAGATCTGCAGCTAGAGTTATGTGTCTTCCATTGTAAGTTAGGGACTTCTTTTTCCTTGCTGCTTTTAGGATGTCTTCTTTATCACTATATTTTGCAAATTTAACTACAATATGTCTTGGTGTTAGCCTGCTTTTGTTGATTTTGATGGGAGTTCTCTGTACCTCCTGGATTTGGATTCCAGATTAGGGAAGTTTCCTTCCCCAGATTAGGAAAGTTTTCAGCTTTTATTTCCTCAAATAAGCCTTCTCCTTCTTGTTCAGCTTCATTCTTTTCCATTATTTTATATTCTGTATCACTTACTCATTCCTCTACTTTGTCCATCCTTGTAGTCATTACATCCAATCTGTTTTGAATTTCAGTTATTCCATTTTTTATTTCTGATTTTTTAAAATTCTTTTCTCTCTGTGGAAAGGGCTTCCCTGATATCATCCATTCTTTTCTCAAGCCCAGCGAGTATGCTTATAATTGATGCTTTAAATTCTCCATCAAGCATATTATAGATAGATAGATAGATAGATAGATAGATAGATAAAGAGAGAGATAATTTCTCTTAGATCTCTGGCTGTGACCTTTCTTGTTCTATCTTTTGGGATGAATTCCTCTGTCTTGTTATTTTGTCTAAGTCTCTTCTTCTGTGTGTTAGAGAAACCTGTTATGCTTCCTGCTCCTGAGAGTAATGGCTTTATGAAGAAAAGGTCATATAGTGCCCAAGAGCTGGCACTTCAGGGAATGTCTCTGGTGTGTTCTGTGTGCACTGTGCTGCTGTGTTTTGGTTGCTCTATCCTTCAGGCCAATCCTCTGCAAAAGGTTTCCTAGCCTATAGTGGGGAGTGTTTGGACCCTGACCAGACTGGTGAGTTTTAACTAAGTGTGCTCTAGTCAGCTTGGTAAATGAGACTTGAGGCTACTTCCACTAGAATTGAAGCCTTGTAAAACTGTGTTTGGGAGATGTGGTGCATGCAGGTGTTTCTGCTGGTGTTCTGGGGAAGGGGACTGCTGCACTGGTTCTCAGGCACCCTTGCCTGAGAAAAGCAGTAGCAGCAGAGCACAGGAGGGTGGGACTTGCAGGTTAGGCAGCCAGTATTGGAGCTGTGCTGTTTATTGAGGCTGGTAAGAGACAGAAGAGGGAAATGGCACCAGCCAGCTCCTCTGTCCTCAGAGAGGGGTCTCCATGCTGCTGCTCTCAGGGAAGTACTCTCGGAAGAGTGAATAATTTCTCCTCCTATGTCCCAGCCATTTTTCAGGTTGCTGTCTTCACACTGTCTCTGGGTTGCTTGCTTGTCTGGAGCCACACAGTGCAGCTCTATCCCAGCCAAGCTGCTGACTTTTAAAACTCCAAACTTTAGGGGTGTGCTATGGTGGGATACTGTGCTGGTCTCCTGGGGGAAGGTCTGGCTATGTTGGGATGGATGCAGATTTACCGTGAAAGGCAGTCACATGAGAGCACAGGGACATGAGATTTGAAGCAAGCAGCCTAAACGGCCAGTGTCCATTCAGGTTAGCCCCCCCTCAGCAGGTGTCTCTGTGTTTATGCTGAGGAACAGGTGAGGAAATGGCACCTCTCCAGGGACACCAACTCTTGTGTCCCTGGAGAGGCATCTCTGTGAATGCCACCTCTCACAGATGTGTTCCAAGAAGAGGGAACAGTCTCTCCTCTGTGCACCTTTAGGTGATCCTCATATCCAGTTATTTGGAGAGAAATACCTTGTGGTATTTTTAGTGCATTTCAATTTGGGAAACTTGTGCTTTTATTTTTTTGTTTATTTTCCAAGTTTCACTCTGTATTTTTGAGAGAATAAAATACCATTTTGTGGGAGGCTAAAATACCATGCTGACACTTTTTACCATTTGATTTCCATCCTCTCCCTTATTCTTACAACATATTCTTCCCTAGGTAAAACTCCATTCCATTTTGGTTCTTGTTCTAATATTTTCTTCTTTCCTTTCTCACTACATATCACTGGTTTTCCTCAATTACTCAGCCTGTAAATACGAAAGGACACAAAGCTAAATCTTAAGGCACCTCTCTCATCACTCTTTCAACTTCTTTGAAAATATTCTGTTCATGGTTTTAACTTCCATCAATAAATTGATGGCTCACACATTCCAAATTCCTTGTCCTCTGAGATCAGAACCTGTATAACTGTGTATTTAACTCTGATAACTCAGAATCCCCAAATTAACATAAACTGCCCTTAAGACTTCTCTTTTCCTAAATAATTGCCTTTTTCAATATCTGTTAATAATTGTGATATTTAAAAGCCTACAAATAATTCTTCATATCTTTTTCCCTCTCAATCTTGATATATTGTATTAATGAGAATCATCTCCAAAATATTACTATATAGTTGTTCCCTCTGATATATTTTATATTCATTTTAAGGTAATTTTACTATCCATACTGCATAAATCAATTTAAAATGTGTTTTGTTAACATTTATGGTAAAACTCCAACTCTTCATTATGATTACATAATCAGGCTCTTTCATACATTCCTGAATCACCGCCTGACTTATTTCCCTGACTTGTTATGCTTTAGTCTCATTGCATTTTACTTTCTTTCCCCAAGGGCTAAAACATTCTTCCTTATAGTCCCAGCCATTTTCTTTTTCATTTTTATCCTTCCCCCCAATTTCCTTATTCTAGTCTTTTGAGCTTTTCAATCTACTTGCTATTCGAATATCACTTCATTTGCTGGCCCTGAAAAGTTTTCAACAAGCTCTTTACATACATGACCAGATTAATTTCCCTCATAACTGTTTCCTCAGGAAAACTTTCCTTTATCAGAAAGTTTCTTCTTCAAATGTATTCCCTATTTATTTCCTTCTTGGCATAAGCTTAGTTTATTCTTTGTTTATTCTTGTGCCTAATTTTTAATTTTTAGACCCTGATAGACTAAGATATTTAAGACATATCTATCTTGTTAACCATTTGTAAGACTAATACAATCCCTGCAACACAGTGATTACTGTGATGATTATTACATAATATTGTTAGTTGAATGAATTTCACCTCAAGAGTGTGGTAAACCCCCAGAAGGTAATCATCAACATTCACTTTCTGTGTAACATTGAATGTAGAAATATTAAGCACATTTTCTACAATATGAAATACTCCGCTTTAAATAAGTTTAAACAAGCACCTTATGTATTTAATAAAAATATTCTTACTCAAGTTGTATTGCAAGAGATTATACATCAGTGACTACTACAAACAATTCCCAAAAGAAGACACAAATTTGATAAAAAATAAAATCTTACATTGCTTCAGGATTCATTATGCATGTAGTTCCTGGGCAGTAACAATTGTAGATCTCATCGTATGTTAATCCCAGATTAATTCCAAGCAACTGTGCCATAACAACTGAAAATGCATCTAAAGTTATCATCTGCGGATACTAAATGCAAAACAAAACAAAACAAAACAGAATTGTTTTTTCTGTTTCTTGACAGGAGGCATTTTTTTTTTACCCCCTTGATCTTTTCTTTTTGGCCATATAACCTAAATTCAAATACAAATTTAAGAAACTACTATGCCAAATATCACTATTTTCTTAGGACTATGGAAAATTAGAAAAAAAAATGGCAAATTTTGTTTTTCTTTTTGGGTTGTAGTATGTTGAATCCAAATAGCACTGATATATGACAAAATAAGATTAATGCTACCATATGGTTTTATTACATATTATATTTCAATAAGCTTTAACAAAATTTTAGAAGAGAATGCATTGTTTCAGTAACTATATTACTTTTCAATGAACACTTAGAAAAATAAACAGATTCTTAAGGGTTGAATTTTCAATCAGTTTTGACTTCAGAAATGTTTTTGGGAGAGAGCCAAATTAATTTTTTTTAAAGACAGAATACAATGACAACTTGCAGGTAGCATTTTTGTCTTCAAAAAAACACTTGGAAAGTAATGATGTCACCAAGACACAAACCCCCAGCAACCGGTAATCTTTTTACCACTCCAATTTTTCCTTTTTCAGAATACACAGGATGTAGCCTTTTCAGATTGGCTTCTCTCACTAGCCACTACGCATTTTTCTCCATGTCTTCATGGCTTGATGGCTCATTTTTAAAAATTGGACAGTATTCCTTTATATCAATTTACTCCAGTTTGTTTATCCATTCATGTATTAAAGGATATCGTGGTTGCTTCCAATTTTTAGCAATTATGAATAAAGCTACTATAAACATTCATATACAGGTTTTCATGTGAACATAAGTATTCAAGTCATTTGGGAAATGCCAAAGAGGAAAACTGCTGGATTATATGGTAAAAAAAAAAAAAAAAAAATAGACTAAGCACTTGAATAGACATTTCTCCAGAGATAATATGCAAAAAGCAAAAAGCATATGAAAATATGCTCATATCACTAGTAATCATAGAAGTGCAAATCAAAACCACAATGAAATATCACTTCATACCAGTTAGGATAGCTGCTATTAAAAAACAAGAACAAAAACAGAAGATAATGTGTTGATAAAGATGTGATTAATATAAAATGTGAACTTTTGGTAGAATTATAAACTGTTTCAATCATCCTAGAAATAAGTATGATGGTTCCTCACAATATTAAAAGTAGACCTAGGGGCGCCTGGGTGGCGCAGTCGGTTAAGCGTCCGACTTCAGCCAGGTCACGATCTCACGGTCCGTGAGTTCGAGCCCTGCATCAGGCTCTGGGCTGATGGCTCAGAGCCTGGAGCCTGTTTCCAATTCTGTGTCTCCCTCTCTCTCTGCCCCTCCCCCGTTCATGCTCTGTCTCTCTCTGTCCCAAAAATAAATAAACGTTGAAAAAAAAAAAGTAGACCTACTATATGATGTAGCAAATACCGACTTCTGGGTATATACCCAAAATAATTAAAATCAATATATTGATGAGCTATCTGCACTCCCCTATTCATGCAGCATTACTCACAGTAGCCAAGGTATGGAAATAACCTAAGTGTCCATTGACAGATAAATGTATAAAAAATGTCATATATATGTATTTGTATGAATATTATTCAGCCATAAAAAGAATGAAACCCTGCCATTTTCAACAACATAGATGAACTTGGATGAAATTATGCAAAGTGAAATAAGCCAGACACAAAAAGACAAATATTATATGATCTCTCTTATATGTGGAATCTAAAAATGTCATACTCACAGAAACAGAATAGAATGGTGGATTCTGGGGGCTAGATTGGAAATAGGAAGTGGAAAATAGGACCATGTTGGTCAAAAAGTACGAATATTTATGTAAGTAAGATGAAAAGTTCTGGGGATCTGTTTTACAACAATGTGAACTTACCTTAGTACTACTGAATTGTACACTTAAAACTAGCAACAATGGTAGTTTTATGGTATGTGTATTTTACCACAATAGCGAAAGACTAAAAATTATAACATTTGAGTTTCAAATCTAACAAAAAAAGCATTTTATAAAAATTTGTCAAAACAGCATGGTAGAAAACTATACATATTTTGTTTCTTGAAGTAGATATTAACTTTTAATACATGAGATAATTACTGAATATATGGGAATAAAATGCATACCAGAGCAATTCCCGCAGCAAACTTTGGATTACATGCCATTCCATGATATGTTGCTCCCACATAATTAAGATGGTTCCTATAACTATAATAAATAATACATTTTCATATAATAAACTTTTTCTTCTGAATAAATGCATTTTAAATTATTACTGACTTAATGACTTTTAAGAATTAAATTTCTCAATAAAGCTTTGTTTAAAAAAATTTTTTTAATGTTTACTTATTTTTAAGAGAGAGAGAGAGAGACAGAGTCTGAGTGGAGGAGAGGCAGAGAGAGAGAGGGAGACACAGAATCTGAAGCAGGCTCCAGGCTTCAAGCAGGCTCCAGACTTCAGCACAGAGCCTGATGCAAGGCTCGAACTCACCCGTCATGAGATCATGACCTGAGCAGAAATCAGACACTTAACCTACTGAGCTACCCAGGTGTCCCTAAAGCTATGTTTCCTACAGTTCCTACGGTTCCTACGGTTCCTACAGTTCCTACACAGTTCCTACAAAGTTAAGTTCTAAAGTCTACTTTAACATTATATGGTATACAGCTCAAAACCCAGCAGTGCTTAATCCTTCCAAAACATTAATTATCACTGTTGCCATCACTGGATGGATATAGTCCTAAGACATACAAGCCAAGATAGCTTACTTCCATGATTTGCACATAGTGAACCCCTACAGTATCTAAAAAATGTTGGAATGGAGGACAGGGAGACAAGGAGACAGAATATGCAGTGGACTCATTAAGAAAAAAAAGATTGGGCACCTGGGTGGCTCAGTCGGTTAAGCTTCTGACTTTGGCTCAGGTCATGATCTCACAGTTGGTGGATTCGAGCCCCACATTGGGCTCTGTGCTGACAGCTCAGAGCCTGGAGCCTGCTTCGAATTCTCTGTCTCGCTCTCTCTCTCTACCCCTCCCCTGCTTGTGCTTGTGCTCTCTCTCTTTCTCTCTCTATCAAAAATAAACATGAAAAAAATTATTTTAAAGAAAAAAGAAAAAAAGAGATAGAACGTAGAAAGTGTCCTTATACATTTCAATCCTTAGTTACTATAGCTCCTGAGTCCCTAAACCTGCCCTTGAATTCCACAGGAAACATCAATAGATTTATAAATCTATTGCATATTATTCAGATGTTCAGAACTGTTTTTATTATTTGCATCTAAATAATCAAATAATTAAAACAAAAAAACATATATACTCTTGAAAGAAATAGTGCAAGTAGTTAAATAGCTACTCCTTTGGTCAGTATAGATATACCAGATGGTAACCACATTACTATTTTGATATATTATTTTAACCAGCATTATATGCAACTATTGCATTCTGTTAACTAATGTATTTTGTATTTAAAGTTAAAATAATGGTTTCAATTATTTACCTCTGAAAAAATCTTTAAAATCACTCAGGCCCCATGCTTATCTCAAGGTTTTCTGAATTTTCAAGTTTATCACATTTCCATAGATAAACAGTCTACTCTAATAATGGCTTACTATGACTTAGTGTCTTACATTGTCTTCAGATTTTTATATTTTTCTTTTTGTCAATACGGTATATATACAATCTTTTTTTGAGGTGTCTTGTCATAAATGCATAACATATTTTGTATATAATATTGATAGCTAACATATTAAATAATTTGATAAACCCTATATCAATGAAAATAAGATACTTACATTAATAAGTATGCCATATCATGGGACCTCTGAAACAAAAATTGTTCTTTCCATGACACAAATCTTTGTAGTACTTCATTAGCATCCCCACTAAGCGAAATCTTATTTTGATCAGACCAGAGCTCCAAAGAAGTTAGCATAACTGTCACTTTAAGCTGGGAAAATATCTGAAAACAGAAGATACATAATATACAGTTTTAGGTTATCATAAATATAACATTACATCTCTATACAAAATGCTAATATATATTCAATTTACACTTTTTTGGAGATGAAATCCATTGGTGGATGAAACTAGTTGGTAGGACTATACTTTCAAAAAACCTGTAAATGCTACATATACAAACAATATTACTGCATTAATATGGAATGTTTCTTATTTAAATGAAACATGAATACTTACAGTGTTGATTACACCAACGATATGGACAACTTTCTCAGTTGCAGCTGCTACTTCAGAGCCCATTAAATCAAACTGAAATACAAATTTTGTTTCTTAATCACTAATGAAAATTACTAAACTAACACATTTTAAATGGATACAAAATGTTAAAATAATGCAATGCTCAAGTGAAAGGGAAAAATAGAATTATTATCAAGGCTTCATAAGTTTTAGGCATAAACCTAGGGACTTTACATATTAGTCAATAACCTTAAAGTAAGAAGATTGTGATTACCTCTTACATATACAGAAAATAGTCAAAAGGATAAGAAGCAGAACTCTTACATATACAGAATGTAAGAGAATGTAACCTTAAAGTAAGAAGATTGTGATCATCTCTTACATATACAGAAAATAGTCAAAAGGATAAGAAGCAGAACTCAAGTCTCCAACTAACTAAACTACTGTCTTTTTTTTTTCTGCTATAGTATGCTGCCATCATCTGCCTTCATCCAAATAAGATGACATGACTGTATATCCTGGATAAGGAGTGTACTTTCTAAACACAGAGCTCTGAGGGCCATAATAGTGAATAATTTCAAGAATATGTCCATTCAAAGAAACAGAAATCATATTTTCTCTAAATATTTCTAATTATGTGTGCACACATTCGTAGGTGTTAGCTGAAAACATAAAATTGGCAACTTGGTATCTTCAATAATTTCCAACAAATCTATAGAAGACTACTAACAGAAAATCAAATGTGATGGATAGAGTTCTCTGATATGGCCAAAAGATGTTATCCTCCTAGGTCTTTAAAGACTATTTATGGGGCGCCTGAGTGTCTCAGTTGGTTAAGTGCCTGACTTTGGCTCAGGTCATGATCTCATGGCCCTTGAGTTTGAGCCCCGCTTCAGGCTTTGTGCTGACAGCTCAGAGCCTGGAGCCTGCTTTGGATTCTGTGTCTCCCTCTCTCTATGCCCTTCCCCTGCTTGTGCTCTGTCTCTCTCCCTCTCTCTGTCTCAAAAATAAATATCATTAAAATTTTTTGTAATAAAATAAATACTATTTATACTTTGCTATTTCTCTGTATATAAACTTTCACAATAAATGATACTGTATATTTACACAGTGCAGCATGGGTGGTATGAGTGAAGGTGACTGATCCTTTACATAACTGAAAATATGAAAAGCGAGACAAAGGAAATAAAAAATATGAGTATGGAAATAAAACCATATATGTCAATAATCACAAATTATCAACAGACCAAATAGTAGGCAAATGACAGAGACTATTAAAATCTACTATGTGCAAATTAAAATAAAAACCTCTAAATTATAAGTACATAGAGATATTAAGAGTCAAAGCATGAAAATATATACAAGTAAAATAATAGACAAAAAGCGTATATTATATGATAGTTATATTACTTAATATAAGTTACATTAATATGAAAAAACAAAGCAAAAAATGGACATAATAATTATTACAATGCATTGATAAAAATATTCAATTATCAGGAAACATGAAAGCATTTTAAATTTGACTATAACTAATAGCATAGCAACAAAATGTATAAAATAAAATTAAAATTATAAATAGAAATTGACTATCATAGGAATTTTTACATAGTTCTCTTAATCATTCATAGATCAAGCAGACAAATTAACCGTAAACACAAGAGTTTGCAAAGGCAGAGATTATCTGAGCAGAGAAAAAAAAAGACCTATCAATATTCTGTTTACAAAGCTATACTTCAAAATTTAAGACAGATAAACCAAACATAAAAGAAGAAATACTAATCATAGCATATTTTAAGGAACTCTTGGAATTTTTTGTAGTTGTTTCGGGGTTTCTTTGTTTTGTTTTGCATGTCATTTGCATTGAAAATGCCTTCTGTTCTTACTGGAATAGTAAGAGTATCCAGCTAAATGGAGAAAGAAAAAAAGGCTATTTAGATTTAATTAGCAGCCCTTGGGGGCACTATGCTTATCTCCTCCTTTGGAAAAAGCTATATAAATATCAGATCATTCTGAACACCCAAGAAATCTATCTGAGGACCTTCAGAACAAACTGCCTGACTAGGGAGAGAAGAGGCCATATTTTGTAGGGTAGGAGGTGCAGAGATGTGATTTGGCTGGTGGGGGGGGGATCAGAATCATGGGTGCTGCAGAGGGGAAGGATCCCTGATTTCAGAGAGAGAGAGGAGAGAAAGAGAGAGAGAGAGACAGGCAGACACACAGAGACAGAGAGAGACAGAGAGAGAGAGAGAGAGAGAGAGAGAGCTCTAGTGGAAATAGGATCAGGCCTCTTTTCAATACAGCTTTTAAAACTCGCCACACTCTGAACGAGGTCCAAACACTCCCCACTGCAGGCAAGGAAAAGCTCTGCCAAGAAATGAACGGAAGGAAAGGGCAACCAAACACAGCAGCAAAGTGCACACATCATATGCCAGAAACACTTCCTGATGCATCAGGCCCTGGACAGTAAATGACCTCTTCTTAATAAAGTGATTACTTCCAGGAGCAGGAAACATAAGAGGCTTTCCTAACACACAGGATAAGACAGACCTAGACAAAAATGCCAAGATGGAGGAACACATCCCAAAAGAAAGAACAAGAAAAGGTCATGATCAGGGATCTAATTGAAACAGATATAAATAATATGTCTGACTCAGAATTTAAAAACAACAGTCATAAGGATACTAGCTAGGCTTGAGAAAAGCATAAAAGACACAGGGAGTCCTTTCTATAGAGATAAAAGACCTAAAAACTTCAGAATGAAAAAAAAAATACTGTAACTGATGTGAAACCAATTGGATGTAATGAGCACAAGGATGGAAGAATCAGAGGAAAGAACAAATGATGAAACATGATATTATGGAAAATAATGAAGCTGAAAATAAGAGGGATTGAAAGGTGCTGGATCATGAATGTAGACTTGGGAACTCAGTGACTTCTTAAAGGATAGTAACATTGGTATGATAGGAGCCCACAAGAAAAAGAATAAACTATATGGTCAACTAATCTTAGACAAAGCAGGAAAGTATATCCAATGGGGGAGAAAAACAATCTCTTCAACAAATGGTATTGTGTAAAATGAACAGCAACAAGCAGAGGAATGAAACTGGACCACTTTCTTACACCCTACACAAAACTAAATTTATAATGGAAGAAAGATCTAAGTGTGAGACAAGAAACCATCAAAATCCTAGAGGAGAACACAGACAGACGGATAGCAACCTCTTTGACATAGGTTGTAGCAACTTCTTACTAGACACATCTTGGAGGCAAAAATGAACTATTGAAACCTCATCAAGGTAAAAAGCTTCTACACAGGGAAGTAAATAGTCAATAATACTAGAAGGCATTCTATGGAACGGGAGAAGGTATTTGCAAATGACCTATCTGATAAAGGGTTAGTATCCAAAATCTATAAAGAACTTTTATCAAACTCAACGCCTCCCAAAAAAATCCAGTTACATAATGGGTGAAGACATGAATAGACATTTTTCCAAAGAAGACATACAGATGGCTAACAAGACACATGAAAACATGCTTAACATCAATGATCAACAGGGAAATACAAATCAAAACCACAATGAGATACCACCCCACACCTGTCAGAATAGGTGAAATTAAAATATTAGGAAATAACAGGTGTTGGCAAGCATGCAGAGAAAGGGGAACCCTCTTACACTGTCAGAGTGAATGCAAACTGGCTCAGTCACTCTGAAAAAACAGTATGGAGACTCTTCAAACAGTTAAAATACTACTACCTGATGACTTAGCAATTGCACCACTAGATATTTACTCAAAGCATACAAAAATACTGATTCAAAGGGATACATGCACCCTGAAGCTTATAGCATCATTGGGAACAATAGCCAAGTTATGGAAAGAGACCAAGCATCCATTATTTATTAATGGATACAGATGTATGTACATCTTTGTACATGTACATGTACATGTACATCTATGTACAT